GGGGCCGGCCGCGCGCCCGGCAGCTCCAGCAGAGGGCGCCGGAGAGACACGGCCGGGCCGTCCAGGGCCAGGGTCTCCGCTCCCCGCGCCCACACAGCTCCCCTTGCCCCCAGTAACAGGCGGCGGAGGGTGCGGCCTGCCCCGCGAGCGTTGGGAGAGGCGGGCGGCGGGGGCACCCAGCCCTGGGGAAGCACCTGGGGTGCTGGTGGGGGGCCTCAGACCCGTGCCTCGGTGGTGGACGATGAGAACCTTCCGGGCCCCCAGACGCCGCGTCCCCTCGCTGAGAGCCCGGGGAGCGCAGGGACAGAGCCGCGCCCAGCCGGGGACACCCAGCTGGCCGCCAGAGGCAGGTTCCAGCAGGCCCAGGAGGCCTGTCCCGCAGCGAGGGAGCGGCGGGGCTCCCCGGGACTGCAGGGTCGGGGTGACGGCAAATCACAAACGCCACGAGCCGGAGAGGGGTGTGAGGGGCGCGGGCGGAAACCGCAGGGCCGGGCGGCCGGTCCACTTCCCCCCCACTGGCCACGCGCCGGCCACGCTCCTCGGGGCTTTGTGCTCCTCCTGCTGGGTCCAGTCAACACTCCTGCCTCTGGCTGTTTCCTGTGACTTACACTTCGCGCCCCTGGCGAGGGCGTCAGAGCCAGTCTCTGCCAGGGCGTCCACCTGCAGACCCAGCCTCGGGCTCACAGGCCTGCCTCTGCCCCCAGGAGAAAACCTGGCGTACCCCGGTAGACGCCTCGAGAGAACTAGAAAATGTGATCATAAGACCCCCACGGGCCTCCCTGGGGGCGGGCGAGGCGCTGGGAGCGCAGCGCTGTGGGGCCGGCCAGGAGCCCCGGCCAGGAGCTGAGCCCCAGGGCCCGGCAGACCCCTCCTGTCTCCAGCCCCTCAGCAGTGCACTTCATCGGTCGCCTGTTCTGCTCCCTGCTCTGTCCCCGGGGAGTCCTCTCACCCAGCACACCTCTGCCTGCCCCCAGTTCTGTGTGCAGAAATCTTTTTTTAAAAATCCATATGGAGGACAAATGCCTTAGGACAGCTGAGACTGGGGGGGGGGGCGGCTGCCTGCAGAGATCAAGACACGATACAAATAGTGAAAGGGGGAAGGGGGCCGGCGGAGGGAGAGAGAACCCAGCTCGGACGCAGGGTCGGGACAGGCGTTGTCCTGACGTGACCGAAGGGGACCGGAAGGGGGCGCACGGAGCAGTGGGGTGCAGGGCCTGGCTGGCCTCACCTCCCCCAGGCAGGGGTGGGGCCGAGAGCCACAATACCCAGGAGAGGCCCCTCAGCCCTCAGGGAGAGGCGCTGGGCAAAACACAGCTCAGGAAAGGAGAGGCCTGTCCACAGGCGGGTCTGACCAGGGCGAAGGTCTGTGTGTGGAGTCGAGCACAGACGTGGGGGGCGCCCGGTGTCTGCGCCCCCCAGGACCTGTATCTGGAGCTGCACATCGAAAGGAAGACACGAGACAGAGGAGACCACCGCAGGGGCGAGGTCCGGCGGCCGCCCGCCCGTGGGGGCCCCAGCTCTCCCCACCAGGCCTGGCGGGGCGCAGGGGCAGCAGGCTGGGCTCACTGGCGGTCACCCCACGTCCCAGCAGCCCGGTGGCTGGGTCGGGACTGCGGGCGCCGGCGCCCGGCCCATGCTGGGCGTGTCAGGTCGGCCAGGGGCCCAGCCCGGCCCTGCGGAGCTGCCGCGGGGAGCTGCCGGGCCTCGTGAGCCGTGGGCCCCTGGGTCAGTCGTGGTCCACTCCAGAGGCGTCGGCTCCGCCCAAGGCCCAGGCCGCGCAACAAGTGTTTTTGCAGCGAGTGTGGATGGGCCCGAGCGGACGCCGCGTCCGTGTGGCCTCTGCGTGCCGAGCGCTGCGCCTGCCTTCTCCCAGGAGACGTTCCCCAGCGCTCCCGCAAGCCGGCCACCTACCTGCCGCCGAGACCTGCGGTCACCTGAGCTCGGCACTCGCTGTCCTTGCAGGGGCGGGCGCTGGTGGGAGGGGCGCAGAGGCCTGTCCAGGGAGGTGCGGCCCCCCAGGCTAGGCTGAGCTGCACCCAGGGCTGGTCCCGCCCGCAGCCACACGCCCCTCCTGGAGCAGTGGGCAGTGGCCTGGCCAGTGTCCGCCCCCCGCCCCCCGCCGGCTGCTCCCCCGTGACCCGCATCCCAGGCCCTGAGCCGCCGGTAACCCCCAGGTTCACAAAGAGAGCGCCCCATGTCCCGCGCCCCACCCCCGTACACGCCCGTATCTCTGCCTCCCATGCCCGGTCCGGCAGGTAGCTGGGAGTCACCGGGGGCTCCGTCCCCCGCCCCCCAGCTACGGCCTGAGGGTGGCGAGAAGGGTGCCACCCTGTGACCACCTGCAGCCGCGCGGCCAGGGGCCAGCCTGGCCGCAGGGCCCCCTCCAGACTGGCCTTGGCGGGGCCGCGCGCCACCACATCGTGTCCTCTGGGGGAGCCGGCCCAGGGCACGGGAGGCGGGGCCCCGGGCTTCCAGCCGTCCTGTGGTCCCGGCCGCAGGCCTGCCCACTGGACACTTCCTGGCTGGCGGCACGTGCCCTTGGGGTGCCTGTCTTCCTCCGTGCTGGGGCGTGTGGCTCGCCTCAGCCCCGCGCCCACCCCTGGGCAGTAGGCGGCACGTGCTGGGTGCTGAGGGCCCCGGTCTGGTGGTGCGATTTCTCACGTGGGCCGCCAGGTCGCTGCCCCTCACCCGTCTGCTTGCGCGTCCGGCGCCCTGCCTGGGGCCGCCTTGTCCCACAGCTTCTGACGTGACTGGACTCAGAGTCCAGAAGCCCTGGGGGGACGCTGGGCCTCTCTGAGCGGGCGCTGGGCCAGCGGCCCCAGGAAAGGCGGCCCCTGGGCGGGCCTGGAGGGTGGCGGCGCAGGGGGCGGCCGGGCCGCACCCTTCCTCCCCTCTCCCATCTAGAGCCTTCTGGGGCACTCCCGGGACGTCGCCGGGCAGCGCCACCGGACAGCGTGCCCGGAGCAGGGCGCGTGC